TCCAGTAGTAATTGGCACACTGGGTGCTGTTCCAAAAGCACTGAAATTACATTTAAAACAGTAAAAATTGACAAAATCACCATCAGTCAAATGCAAAAAGCCGCACTGCTTGGATCTGCACGCATATTACGAAAATACGTTACGACGTCCTAGGGCCCTGGGTGGGGCCCGACTAGTAACCAATGCCAAATCCGGCGAAACAACTAGCCGCTGTGATACAATTCTGTTGTTGCGAATAATAAACAAACAAACAAACAAACAAACAAATAAATAAATCCAAAAAGAAAGAACCAGGATTTTACTATTTTAGTATAAGCAATTTCTATATGCGTTTCTGGCATGGTGAATGATCTAATATTGGAATGCATCTGCTATTAAATGAAGGTTATATATTTATTTTATTTATTTATATCCTCTCCTTGGGGAGTTAAAGGCTGTCTAGATGTGCCCTAATTTTATTACCAATAAAACATAATGTTTGTAGCTCAGAGTTGGAATGAGGGGATTTCGGTGCTCTCTCAGCTTAGTTCGTTTCATACAGTGATGATGTTACCTAGTTTGAGTAATGAAACATCTGCCAGAAAACAACCAAGCTCAGAGAGAACTAAGGACTCCTCTAGTTTTATCAATCACAGTAGCTTCAAGATGTTGATTTGAGAGTTACTGTCAACTCTTAAACTGACCTGGATGCAGCCATCTTTTCCTGCCTCATAGTTGCCATGAACTTTGAAAGGGGGAAGGGCGGGGGCAAAAATAGATAGACTGGCTAACAGTCAAAACCAAAACTTTTCCTGTGGGAACCAAGGTCATCTCCAGCAGGTGGCTGCTGAAGGAGGAGAGGAGTAGCAGCCTGCCAGCTGTATCCATTGGACAATGTAACCCGTGCTATTGGGGAGGGAGGACTTTAGCTCTTTTAATTAGGTGAAAACTGCAGGAACTTTTAGAGTTGGTTTTTACTAGCTGTGCCAGTATGATGTTTCCAATAAACATGTTCTTGAAGGAATGTACCTGTCTCGGAGTTCTACTTTTGGTGGATTGTTATGCGGAACTCTGATAGTTACGCAGTGAGTTTCATGGTCAAGCAGAGACTAGAATTTGGATTCCAAGCTTCTGGTCCAGCACTTTCCCCATGACATCTCATTGGCTCTTCTTTAACTTTCATATTCTTAATCAGTGAATCAGGTTTTTGGGAAGCAGTCTGATCTGGGTGGTAGATTGGAGCTAATCTTCTTTCTGCTGCATCATTGGCCTGCTATCTGTAGCGGCTACCTCCTTGTGCTACAAAGCAGGTGATTCTCCAAAATAGTTGTGCATCACAATTGGCCTCTGATGGTTTAGGAAGATCACCGCAAATGGAATTAGAGTGAGGAATAAGCCAACTCATTGATGAATATAAATGGAAGGGGAACTCAGAGTTCTGGAGCTATTTCTGGAGCAGTACAATGAGATGTGGAATTTAAGCTTCAAGATCTGAGCATCACTCTCAGCCTGGTAGAGTTCATATGGTGATAATAAAAGCTTCATGGTTGCCTTTTTTAGGATTTTTGATTTATATGTGGGACTTTCCATCTGCAAATAATGCATGATTTGATATCCTGTCACGAGAAGGGACAGTCAAATCACTTTAAATCAATTTTAGCTGTTTGGCCTCCAGAACATGAATTGTCTTCCTTGTACATAACTCTACATCTAGGGCACAGCATGTCCATTATGGAGAATGGCAAGATTCCAACTCTTGTCCATCACTTGAATAACATATTCATTTCTTCCTGAAATCCTTTTTCAACTTACCCAGCACTCTCAAATCAGGGTAGGAAACATTGAGATGACTTCTAGTTGGCAGCCAAGAAGTGCCAAAACCTTGAACTCTTTGCTGATGGCCATCTGGATTTTTACTACTCACAACCAGCAGTCCTAAAGATGTTCGATTGGGTGACAAACCTTACCTTGACACCAGAGGATTTTTAACTAGCAAACATTCTCCTCTCCCTCCAACCAGGATTTTAGGACAGACTGTAACATGACTTGTGTCCCTCAACAGCTTTTTCCAGATTGGCAGCTGGGTCTCTTTTTTTCCAGGCACCAGATTAAAAAAAAGGGCTGGCAACTCATTCATACTTGGCCCAACCATCTTTTGCTCTGACCTTTCTGATAGCAACATGCCTGCCTCTTGGAGATTTGTCAGTCAGGGAGAGGAACAAATGTCCAAACAGCTGGTGGCTGTACAGAGAGGGAACGCATGATGAGTGAATGTAAAAGTCAAAGTTTGAAGAATATGTAGCTACAAGTTGTCAGGCACAGTAGATGATCAAGTCCCCTGCATGGTGCAAGTGTCATTATGGCTATTATTTATATGCCACCCAAGAACAAGGTTCCCTGGGTGATTTATGCAAGAGTTAGAATAAGATCTTTTGAAACATTTTTGTGAGATGTGAATGATCTTGCCCAGGTCTCTTATTGATCTCTCAACAGAGAGATAATTACAACTCACATAATTATATGATGGTTGAGATATGGAAGGGGGAAGGGCCAGCTCCAAATCCTCAAGATTTATTAAGATTGATTAAAGTAATTGATACAGCTGCCCAACTCACTCACAGTGACTAGGTAGCAAACAGTTTGCTACAGGTAAGGTACAGGTAAAAACCCACAATTTAAACACACTTTGGGTAGAATTCCAGATGTTGTAATGTGGGGGTGTAATTTTGCAGTCATGCTTGATCCTTAAAAGGACAGTCAATGGATAGGGGTTTCTGCCCTATTGCAGAAATTGATAATCAGTAGGCCCTACTGATAATCAATAAGCATAAATTTTGATGGCTTTTTGTTTATTCAATCTCATGCAACACACTCTTAACATTTTTGCTAGGCATTTTTGCTTTTTCAACATGGCATACTCTGGAAGTGTTGAATTACAGCTCCCCAAATTCT